TATTCTGTACCAAAGCTGTGAGCTTACTTCTGCTAATATGCTGCAACACATCAAAGCACAAGAGAGTAAGGTATTTAGAGGTTTATGGATAGTGATTAGCAGTTATCAGAGACACCATTAGTACGAGAAAAACTCTCTACTTTTCTATTCTAGGTTTATGTATGGAGTATGAAAAGGACGTTGGCTACGCTAAACTAGCCTCAGTTTTTCTTCAATAACACTGGGTCATCACAACCCTTGAAGCATTCATAAGTATGGGGAAGCAGTTTGAAATCAGCATTCCAAGCTGTGTATAGTAAGCATCTTTTTTTCAAGTCGCCGTTGTCATTCATCCCTACTAGCTTTTTTATAAACTAAAAAATGCTCATGACTGTATTATGGAGTAGAGAAAGAAAAAAAGAAGCCTATACCGTAAATGGCATGTCGGCAGCAGGATCATTGTCTCCCCATTCCAGAGCGTCTAGTTTTCCGGTTAGCAGCACCATACATATCAACGCAGGAACAACAAGGCAAGCATGGAATAGCGCCGATGTAACATGCTGCCTTCGATGCGATGGGACCAGGTGACGTGATCGCGCTAACACGATAGAGAGCACAAGAGCGTATAAAACGCCCACTGCAGATAATGAGAGCACAATCCACAATGGAATAAATACAACAGCCCATGACCAGTCCACCTAAATTACACGTTCATTTACCACATATTGTATATTTTGATTCAAATGTGATAATAATGTTTTGCCAGTAAGCTGTTCTCCCTCCCTCGTTTGAACCTCGGCGTCCTGCGCAATGTTTTTTCTTATGTTTTTTGCAAACAAGACGTTTGTCTGAGGCCCATTTTGCAGATGCTTTTTGACAATCACCATCTTCAGAGGCCTTCCATCGCAAGCGCATTTAATGGTGCAACTGGGAGAAATACCTACACCATTCAATGTGCCTCGGAACCGAGGCCTAGGCCTCTGACGACGATTAATCCAAAGATATGTAAAGCCGCTGTTTCAAGTTTGCAAGAGCTAATTCACAATGTTAAGCTAGTAGCCACTTTCATATAACTACACTCTCTCTTTCCGCCATGGTTAGAAAGATGGCTACACGTTGCACCTGGCACAAAAGTAAATGCGTTTTTTAGGAGAAATATAAAGAGCAAATGTGATCATGTGCAATCATTTACTAAGAAGTTCCTAACCGACT